CACAGGTAACCTTTGGTTAATATACTGTATTTTTTTTTTTAATTCAGCAGAAAAAAATGGTGTAACTAACGAATTCAGAACAAATTTCTACAGATATATTATTTTTTGAATCAAAGTTAAAAAGCAATTGAACAGTTTGCTACCGATGTAACAACTAGACGACGATTACGCTGTTTCAAATGTAGTGCATGTTTTTCTTCTGCTGCAATTGTGTAAAACATCATTTATTTTTAAATATTTAATTGCCCATTATATATTTATTACATTAACTCGTAAAAAACACCAATTTCCGTAAGTTGTTCGGATGTGTGAGTTATTATCTCATTGTAAAAGCTGACAATTCATACTGTTAAAAGCATAGCAAAACTTGTTGCTGTCGCTGGACACACCAAGTGGTCCTCACTTAGGACACCAGGCCAGTTGTAAAAACACCTGTGAAAAAATGGGACCAGTCAAAAATACAGGTCGGAATATATCAGTTTGTGTCATGTCTTCATGGAAGTTATTGTATAAATTAAAAACATAACCTGGTAAATAAAATGTCATGCCCATTTCATTTTATACATTTTCCCTTTGTGTTGTATGATTAAAATAATGTTTTCCCCAGGTCTATCATGAGGAAAACATGGTGTATTTCTCCTGGTGTTTCAGGATTTAAACTCTGAATATTTCCCAATGTTTTCCATGATTTATACAATGTACATTGCCTATTTCCCCTAGTTTTAAATCATTTAAACATTTCCCCACATGCCTATCATGATTTAAACATGTTTTACTTTTGTGTATTCAATGATTTAACATGAAACATTGTGTTTCCTCACATGTTCCATGAATTTGCAAATTACAACTATCACTTCCCACAAAAAATACCCGATGCATAAACATTTCAAAAACAAAACAAAATCCAACAAAATGTCATTAACAAATATACACAACTTATTGTCAACCAATAGTAATTGTGGATATTGAACTTTGTTTTCTAGAAATCTAGGCCTGGTTTCATCAAATATTGGTTAAAAAAATAATGTGCAACAGGTCTTGGAACATACCAAAAATATGTGTCATTCTTTTCCTCCACTGTAGAGAGATCCACTACAGAGAGATCCACATCCACTATAGAGAGATCCACTATAGAGAGAAGAGTGGGGCTTCGGCCGTGGTACTCCAACCACATTGTGTTCTATCAATTTATGCTGCGACTATTTTTTTTATAATAAAATCATTTTCATTATAAATGTTATAAATACTATCTGTCAAACTTTGTAATCTTTGTTGTTGTAAAACTATTAACACAAAATGCAATTGTTTTCATCAAACCAGATGTTGTTCTGTCTATGTAGTATATCCTTCATTTTATCTGTAGTATTCCGTCATTGCGTATTGCAGAGTTATCTTCTCTTGAGAGCAGGTATTGATTGTTACGTCATTTGTTTGTGAGAGTAACGTCATCAATTTTTGAGAAAACAACATACTTTTCTCACACAAACCAATGACGTAAAAAGCAATACCTGCTCTCAAGAGAAGATAACTCTGCAATACGCAAAGACGGAATATCCTTAATTGTATCTGTGCTTTGTATTAGTTACCCCGATACAGATGTATCCTACCTCACACATTTGATCTGTGATGACCAAGGTAATATTAAATATGCGTCCAATAAGGGTCTGTTCTACCTCAAACATAATTAAATTTGTGATTTTTGTATCATTTACCCATATAAGTATATGTTTATCTCAAAACATTATGTGTGTATATATACCTCACACATTATATTTGTATATTTTACATCAGAGTTATCTCCCTAAAGTGAGGTATGCTTCCATACATCTAGTTATTCCCCCTTGGGTATATCCTACCTTACAAATAATATGATTTGTATAAAGTAACAAGGACAGGAGGGATATGATACAAGACACCTGTGATTTGCACTAGAATTTCCCGTAGGATAAATCCTACCTCACCTATAGCTATTAAATCGTTGATTGGGTTATGAGTTGTCTCCCTTGATGAAATATACTACCATAGTTTTTACCTGTGATTTCCTGTTATAGTTACCTCCCTTGAAACCTTAAACCAATTTGAATAACTTGACTGCTTATAATGCAAGTATTCTTGTTTAACTTATATTATTCAAAGCTCTTTTTTAATTATGGAACTCTTTTGGATGCATTGAAGTTCTTTGATATTCTTAGTTAATATTCCAAATCAATTGCTATACATTATTTTGAATGTCAAACAAATGGTAATAGATAGTAAAAGTAAAGAGGTCATAAACTACATAATTATCTAAAAGCTTTTCTACAAAAGATGAAATCTGTTTAGCGAATTTTGAATGTTGATAAACTTTAAAACAAATTGTCCAGTTTATATTAAACACATTATAGGCAGAGCAGGACAATTGTAGATAAAAGGTTAATTCTGATAATAACATATAACATGATATGATTAACTACATTATTGGTAACTATTGCAATCTTCTCAGAACACAATTATTGCACTTTAAGCGATGGATTATGGATATGTAATCGGGACTTCACCCCAGCATGAAGCCCTCAAGAGGCGTTGTTATGAAATCATGATGTATATTCTAGTCCTACACCTATATCTCAACAGTTTATCTTCTCCTGCTTCATGTAATGTTCTAAATTGTTATCAGGGGAAAACACTTTCAATGAAATATAAAGTAAAAATTGAAATTCCTTATCATAAGGAAGCACTTTTTATTCAGCCACCTTGACCATATAGTGGAATAGCTCATTGAAAGAGTAAGCGGGCTTGTTTTGATGTTTACAGGTGTTTGGTTAGGCAGTTTGTTTGTTACTGTAAAGTCATTCGTTCACTAACATTGAATCTGGGGGCCATAGTATAATTACTATTGAAGTGGTGTACCAGGTTTACAATTATGTATCACCAATGTCCCCCCCTTCTTAAATTTGTAAATAAATAATTAAAACACTATATATATATCATTTATAAAATAATCTTTTCAAAAAGAACATACGAAGTAAAAAAAGTCATGCCCTTTCTTTACCCACACATTAAACAAAACTGTGGATAGAAAATTGTCAGAAAAATAAGTTAAAACGTTCAGAATGAAAATGGTTGATACACAAGACTATGAGTTAAGGAACAAGTGATACACTTGATAACAGATGAGAACATTATAAAAGAATATTGGCAGGGAATCTCATTCAGCTAAGAGTTTGTCCAGGCAAACAATACCATTCACTCCAGTGATGATTTTCCCAAACATTCATGTGACTCTGAACTTCCCAAACACTCATGTGACTCTGAACTATCCAAACACTCACATGTTACCCTGAACTTCCAAAACACTCACATGTTACCCTGAACCTCCAGAACACTCGAAGGAAGAGGGATTTTCAATCAGTCCTATCCCCAGTGATATATGTAGATAAATCATCCTCTCTGAATCCTATCAGTATGATTATGTCTTTCAGCACATGCTTGTCCTTTTTAAGGTTATTGATATCACATATGACATATTGAATATTTTCTTATCTTTTGTTCCAAAAGAAAGGAAAATGTACACTAAAACTGTAGATGATTTACACAAAAATCGTTCAATCATTACTGTTAAGGGATGATTTAATTACTGATCAAAGTAACCTCTCACAATCTATTGATGGGTACTGTAATAAATTTACTATGAATATTTCTTATATACATATCAGTGTTGGCTGAAACAGCTCAATTAATCTCTGACAACATCCCCACTGACTGCTATGATATTTGGTTCTTGCCCAGTTTACTGTTGGTGCAGAGGTCTACCGCGACCAATGATAGAGATAATAGTGGTATTATGTGAAGATACTGTGTACAAAAGCTTTTTTTTTTTTAAAGATCTAGTTAATTATACCTGCTGAAGATTTGATTTTTTATTTATTTTGGGAAAATTTATGTTGTTTTTCATGTCAATACTGCAAAAAGATGACGAGATTTAGTAAGAACTTAAGACCTATAGGTTGAGAACTTTAACCATATTTCTTGTCCTAATTGCTAGTATAGACTAAAAAACAACATACTATATATCTCCATTCTAGCTACATGTAGTATACTATGTTCGTATTTAAAAAAACAAACATTTTCCTAGCTACAACTATTAAGTAAATCATAGAGAAAGCCTTTGAGATTTTTTCTGCATGGTATTTGGCCTTGCCCAAACTGCAGTGCATTCTCAATCTGTTTGTTGATGAGACAAACTATTTTGGCCAGGTTCTTATAAATCCGGTCAGCATACCTGACAAGCTCAATATAGTTAATTGATTATTTCTGTGAATTTTGAATGTTGTATAAAATTTCATACAACACTGTTATATTCATAAATGTGAAAAGATTCCTTTATGATTAGGGATTTCACTGGAACACACCGATTAAATTAAGGTTTCCGTAATAAATCAACTTACGTGTGTGGTGGGCTGGGCACAACTCATTTGAGTCATGGTTCTATAGTTGATTTCATAAAATATTATAAAATGAAATGGAATTAAAACATGATCTGTATCCAATCAAAACACACTTTGGAAAGGAGTCGTGTTAGAACTATCAATAAAACAAACAGTATCTTTGTATCAAATTTTGTAAAGCACTTGAACTGTTAAATAGAAGAAAAAGTACAGAATGAGCTGCTGGTCCAGTCTTAGTGCTTGTATAAGCATACACTTCAACCAAACATTGTGACATTGAATATTGTATAACACACTCAACTGTTAAACACTACAGGGTACTAGGGCATGCACTTCACATTATATTTGGCACTGGTGTAGGGATTTACTAATATCACTTAATCAGTTTCCAAGGAAACAGAATTGGACCTATCCAGGTCCCTAGGTCATGGTTCCAAGTAGATGATCATATAACCATGGAAACAGAGGCAGACTCAACCGATCAAATTTCTAGTCTTAATAGTTGTTAGTCAACCATAAACATTTAAACAAATTTTGTCTGATTTTCAGTGTTGTCTTATTTACATTACACTGTACATGTATATGACAAATAATGTAACTGGTTCGTTCTGTGAAAACTGATACAAGTCATGCAAGTTCATATCTTCCCCACCAACTGGTCAATTAATATACAAATCAATCATGAAATTCTGTAACATATAAAAAAAACCATCAGAAAATTTGTGACACCCCCACCCCCATCCATTCTTTCATTTAAATACATTTGTAGAACAATTGCACAAAGGCCAGTTCTGAATAATTTGATTTAATCTAAACATCATTTGCTTATACACGGTACTATATTCATCCTTGCAACTACCATCATGATAAATTAGCACACAATAAAGATTTGAAAAGGGTTCAATTATTTAGATCATCAAACCAATATGATAGCAGATTCTTGAAAATCACATACAATGTAGCTTGCTTAGCTTTCATTTGAGAAAACCATAAAAGGTATCAACGTTATATAATTAACAATATATGAAGTGGGATATCAAGCTTTAAACTCAAGAATGGAGACATGGTGGAAATAACAACCAAAACTGTTTTTATAATTCGAAAAGTTATCGGAAAAAAATGAAAAAGGCAATCTTACTGATTTGAATATAAGGGATAGGATGGGGGATTATCATAACTGTTTTGAACATGAAAAAAACTTGAAAGACTTCCTCAGATATATTTTTATGCCTATATTGAATATCATAATTTTAATAGGAAATATAAATTTATAAATTTATGCAAGTTTTCTTTATACCAGTTTCCCTACAGTTGTAGAATATATACTGCTTTCCGTGATCTAACCCATTCTAAATTAAGGGGGTATACCTGATACCAAGCTCTCTGTACAATGAATACAGTACAAATGTATAAGTAATTTTGAAATATTTTTTACATATGATACTGACCCTTAATGTTCAAGTATTCAATATTTGATCCAGATGCATGTCTATGAATTAAATCAGTGCCAGGGAAGACAACTTAATAGAAGCAAATAAGTTAACTGACAAATTTAATCCATTGATATACCTTAAACTCATGCGTTATTATTTTTGGTACAAGCCATATTTAGCAATATAAAATCTGATTGGTGAAAAACAAGCTTAGAATCTTATAACAGTCATATAACTTATCTATACTTACACACGATGGACCAGTTATCTCTCGGGACAAACATATGGTGATTTGTATTAACAGGCATGTAACTTATCTATACTTACACACGATGGACCAGTTATCTCTCGGGACAAACATATGGTTATTTGTACTTACACACGATGGACCAATTATCTCTCGGGACAAACATATGGTGATTTGTATTAACAACATCAAATTTGGAGTTTATCAATATCTACATGATTGTCCATCCCAACAGACAATATTACAACTGTACAGTGACCAGATTTAAATGTTTCAGAAGTCAACAAATCTTAGGATTTTTGAAAATCACATAATTTAAGAAATTTTTGTATTTGTCAACCTTGCTCACCTATTTTTGTTATATCAAATGGCTCCGTACTGGAACTGGAATCATCATACGAGCCTGAGTAAAGACTGGTCCAAGATTTATACATAATGATAAATAAACAATAAACTTTCCTCACAATTGTTGTTCTATAATTTACAAGAGTAAATTTCCCCTAATATAGGAAAACACTGTACATACACAGTCATACCTAAAAACATACTTCCATTATAACACACTCCACACACGCTTCCATCCTATATATCTATAAAGGATGGAAAAAACATTGAATTTAAAAGTGGAAGGATTCATTCATACATCATATGGTACACAAATGGACCAATGATGATGTCTCTTTTAAAATGAATTATCAAAATGCAAACAGACAGGAAGGTCCACCAATCACAACAGCTGTTACAAATTGCCTGAAGTGTCATTAATTAACATGTACTATCACACTGACACTTCAAAGCTAGAGTCATACAGACTCTTTTTTTTGTCATCCCGACTTCTGTCTCTGCCCCGAGGTTGTCCGTGGGGAGGATGGGCTGACCGGCCCCCCTGGAGAGGGACTGATCTCCCTGGGCGGGAGTGTCTCTCGCTGCCTCCACTGGCTATATTTGAATAGGAACTATTTGAGAAAGCAGTACTTTGAGGTGGTGTTTTTTGTACTTGTTGTTGCTGTTTTTCTTTTTGTTCTACAATTTCACTCATTTCTAAAGCTTTCACAAATGACATCGGGCGCCTTGGGTTAGCTCTGTAGTCGTCGTCTGGAAAATAGGGTTCTGCCCCCTGGGTCGGCAGTGTCCGAGATTTGGGCACTGTGGGTTGTTGTGATGAGTGTGACCGTTTTTGATCAGAGGGAAGCGCTTCATAAGAGCGTTTGGGTCGTATGTCAGAGCTGGACTGATTGGATGCAGTATACGGTCGCCCTGTGGAGATATTATCAGATCTACTGTGTGGTACCCGCTCACGGCCACGAGGGGTGTCACGATCACCACTTGTGAAGCCATTGTTTTTGTATGAGCGAGCACTGTAACCTGTGGGAGGATACTGGGGAGCTGAAGCACTTGATTTAGGGGCAGTAGAGCCCCCTGCCCTCAGTTGGGCAGGGTATGACTGAGAACTACTTATTTGGAACTGGGAATCTCCAGGGCGCTTCTGTTGGGATTCATATGGCTGGTAACGTGATCCTTCATTCCACTGGCCTTTACTGTTGCTCTGCCGCCCATTGGATATATACGGGGCACGCTCAGACCCCGGACTATTTAGAGCATGTCTGGGTGGAATCCCTTTATCCATTGGTGAGGTAGCGATTAGAGATTCTTCAGGTGTGGCCATAGGTGCCTTTGACATGCCTCGTCGCCCTCTCTGCGGAGACGATCGGTCATAATAGTTTCTTGGTTGAAGCACCTTGGGAGATCCACGCTGTGCTGTGTGATTGGTGTGATTCGCATGAAGTGTTGCACCCACGGATGTCGGCTGTGAAGGCAGTGTCGACACAGACTGTTGGGAAGTGTCAAAAAGATTTGTGTAAGAGTCTGAGCGGATATTAGCCCCTAGACTTGTCTGGCTGTCCAAGCTCTGTGAGTCTTCATCGTCCAGAAGGAGTGTGGTGAGGGGGGCCTGGGGGAAGGAACAGAGGCACACAGCTCGTTATTATATATACCTACATACCTCTAACTCAGCCCAATCCCACTTAACTACCCACAACTGCAAAACTTCGGCCAGACCTGCTGTAAACCTGTAAGTGTAATACTGGTACAGTTCCTGCAGCATGAAGAGGTATGCTAATCAGCGGTGCGAAACAGGAGCAGGTACTCTATAAATAGGCTAAGCCCCGACACCTGGGCGGGCGTGAAGCCACGCTATATGTGTGAGTGGGCAGGCAGAAGGTTGATATGCCTACACTACCAGTAAGGCCGGTGTGCTATACCATGGTGGTAACGCCCTGGAATGCAGAAGAAAAACACCAGGCCGTTAGTGAAGGAGGTATCTATTGCTAAGGGAGACAACTGCTGTCAAATTTCATTTCTAATTGTTACTATTCATTTGTTCAACAAAACTAGGTACCATAAATATCATTTATTTCATAACATAAATATTTTTGATTTCCTTCAAATATCATTTCATCATCTAGTTATATTTATACCACTATCGTCAAATCATAGTGGGGAAAGCACAGAAAACAAACTTAACTTTCTTGAATAACAAAATCAAAGTTTGAGAGAGATAAACAAAATTCTTAAGCTTCAGCAGTTGTCTTCCGAGGGAAATAAAAAAGAAAAGTGAGGGAGAAATAAAAAACAGAAAATGAATAAAGTAGTTAAGGCATTAAAGCATAGTAAAATATAAACTATACACAGCAGTAAAACCTGGCGGTGGCATGCCTCATTTAACCAATGTGGAACATATATAAAGACTGTAGGTTTCTTTTCAAAATGGTTTCCCCTCAATATTTGGCAATATTTCATTGGAAAGATATGATAGTTTTAGATATTTTAACGAAATAATGAAGTTCCGATTTTTCATTATCTACCACAAGAGAAATCAAATTAAAAAGTAAGTGCTAAAAGTACAATGATCTAAGTAGCTGTTATATAGATAATGTTTAGTATAACAATATTCACCTGGTGATAAATGTGTATTTGATTCAGTAAATGGTAACACATGAGTCGACTTTGATTTACTTATGCTGTGGACTGTTTCAATACACAGAAATGTCATAGCCATTACATATCATCCTCTTCACAAGTTATTTGCCTTTAGATATCAGAAAAGAATAACAATTTGCTGAAAAATACCTACCAAAAATCGACAAGAAACGATCTTTCACAGAAAACCTCATTTCAAAGACAAAACTTGTTTGTCACTAAGTAACAAGTCAGTATTATTAAATAACTATAACAGCCAATTTCACAAACCAAATCTAAATTTGCCAGCTATTTTAATTACAGAAGCATAAGTATAAAGCAGTTTTGTTTATGTCTTAGCTATTTGAATGAAGGGAGGCAACTCAAGGACTTATTCAATGTCTGATGCAGGGATTTCTTTTCTTTTTTCTACTTAACAAATTTTTGGCTTTGACGGGTTTTGTTAGAGTGTCACAAAACAGACCTGGAATGATAGGTGTTTTTCTAAACTTTTTCTTCAGATATAGGGTGAAAAAGTACTTGGTGATAAACTACAGGAGGTATGGCCAGGTTGTACTTCTGTAAAGCTACTCTGTAATACACTATACTACTGCAAGCATACACCTGACGTTACATGTTAAGTGCCAGTGACCTTGGAACTTGTCCTTCAGTATACATTTGTTCAAGAAATCAAATTTTAGAAATTGTCACTGTTGGTTCTTAACATGCAGTGTCAGGTTTAACTCGTTCACCCCTATGTAACTTTAGTAGACTCTACCATGCATTGATATGGAAGAGACCATTATGGTCTACAGTTAGACTCTACCATGCATTGATATGGAAGAGTCCATTTTGGTCTACAGTGGTGAAAGGGTTAATGTTACTGGTTACCAAAGCATGCATAGACAATACAACAAACACACATACCTAAATATGACATCCCCAAGGTTAATTTCTGATCCAAGATAAAACCAATGCCCAAAGTTTTAATAAAAAAATGACTTTAATCACATTGCCTATTCTAAACCTTGCTGCTTTTTGCAAAGCTGATTTTCTCAACATCGATCCATTGTTAGACACTATAGTATGTTGAAGGGAGGTTACTCTAAAAAAAAAAAAAAAGATTTAAATGATAATATTGAGTCTCCAAAAGCTGTGTACTGTTGCATTTTCATAAATGAGTTATGTATCATAAACTGTTTAAATCTGGCCTCTGTAAATAACTTAGGGCTATTGTCATATACATGGCACATTTAACAACAGATTTACTACTAACTAGGTGCTCGCATTCTTATTTGATACTAATGGATCAAATCAATACTTTAAAAAGACCAGAACATTGTTGTTTTAGTCATATAACATGTCATATTTGGGTAAGTAAATGGTGACCATCTACTGTCAAATAAGTACAGTGAAGATCTACTGCTGATCTAGAAGCATGCGGTCAAGTACATACACAGAGCTTCCACATAATCACAGCTCTGGCTTTATTTAGGTGTTGCTATAAATGTTGTAAAATAAAAAAAAATCAATCTTCATTGAATTTGATATTAATTACATGCTGAATTGAGTGACCAACATTACAGACTTTTTACTACAAAGTGTCAACAAAACCCAGGTATGAGTAGCCATGGGGACTGGGTGAGTATATGGGATCAATTCTTGGTTACGAAATGTCATAAGGTTTTAGGGATGTTAACGTTAACATGAGTTGACAAGCTAGGATTGTTTAAGACATAAAAAGTAGCAAGAATGAGGTGATAACTATGTTGGGATACCTACTTTTCTCCTGAAAGTTTTTGTAGTAAAACTATATACCAATGATGCACAATGATGTTGTCAGACGATGATGAGTTGGGTAATATCAGCGTTAGCGCAGATGACATAACGCCACCAGAATGAAGCAGGATATATATATATAAGCAGGGACACCAAGACAAACCAGCAATATACATTGTACATAATACATATATATAGCCCTATGGTTTCATATTGTAAGTGTTAACACTGCATTTATATTCAGAATGCCAGCATTATTCAATAGTACTTGTTACACTTAGTAATTGAGCCCGATCTAAATCTTACACTTCGAGTGACACAGACACCAGTCAAAAACTAGGAAAGAGAAACATATACTTATGGAAATCAGGGATCAGGAGTTGCTACTTTTCCTTCTACTTTTATTCTATTGAAACTTTGGAGTGCTTCCCTTCCAATAACTTAGACTGTCAGTTATTCCCCTTACAATAACAGGTTAATTGACTTTAAGGTTAGGAACACCAGATCACAACCATTCTACAAAACCTGATGCAAATTACCTACCCTTTATTTTCAGTAGTGTTTGTTTAAGTTCTATCTTCCAACCAGAGTATAAAACTGGAGAGGCAAAAGTTAGTACACTTCTAGAAGCAAATTAAACTCACATCAAACAACACGAAAAGCAACATGTGGAAACTTGTCCCAGATATATTTTAGGACATTAATTTCACTACAGAGTTAAATAGCAAGTTAATATCCTTCTGCTTTTGTACTGTTTTGAATTTAAATAAATTTGACTGAATTCTCTTCTCTACGTACACGTCTTTCCCCCCAAAGTTTTGTTGCCAAATAGGATTGATGTTTTAGGTAAGTTTAGCAATCCTAGAAAACAATTATATGTAAGCATCATAATAATAATTTACCATTCACGAATGTGAAAAAAACATAAAAGCAGCAAAATTTAGCCCTGTAAATCTATCTAGTTTCTGTAGTCAGAATCAAGGGTCTGAGCCAGCACTACACAGAGGAAGCAGACAACGAGTATTGTAACATAAACTACAGAAGGTGGTATGTATTACATTGATAGTGGACATTTAAACATTGCCGTACCTCATCACACATGGATGTACCAGTATGCATAAACAACAGCTAAAATGATTCTAAACTCAATGCACATCCCAATTTAGACCCTAGCTAGGTGTCTTGTGGTCGTGTCTGTAGTTCTATGTTCCCAAAAACAGACTATAGAAATTTATATTGACTAAAGAAAAATTTGTGGTTGTGTCTATAGTTCTGTGTTACCAAAAACGAAATCTAGAAATTCATATCGATGAAAGGGGAGAAGTTTTTTCATATTCCCTTTTAATTAATACTAATGAAGGTATGATAAAGTGATAATATCTGTCACATACTATTGGTGCCTTCTACAGGTGAGTTAATGAGGAACCTTCAACTGAATTAGTGATGATGAGCTGAGTTAGTGAACTTTTGGAGCAGGACTTATAATTGGAGGGGGGCACAGTTAGTGACCCATGACAAGGCCTACTGGATGACTGATGATGTCACAGACCCTGGACAGTTCAGACACAATACATACTCCTGGGAGCATGAAAACAGTATACATCTGTACACCATCACACTGCCAGAAGTACAACAACAGTATATTTCTGGAAGTACAAAAAATATGTAATTAAGCTCTGTGTATGCATTAAATAATCCCTGATTAAGTCAGCATGCCGAAGTAAACACTGAAATGGACATCACAAAGATCCTTCACAAACGTAGTTGAAGTAAAAATTGAACAGACAAATTGAATTGTTTTTGACTCTGTGATAGACATTTCAGCTGAGATCTATCTAGCTAAATATGAACACATCTTATAATGTCTTGTACAGGCATTCACTGCAAAACTAAGAAAACTGATGCTGAAAACAAAAGTATTATAGGCATTCTACATCTTACTTAAAAACTGTAAAAAAGAAAATCAAACAAATGAAAATGAATATAGCAAAACCTCAAAGGTGAAATAGAGGTTAGAAAAAAATATTGTGATGCTTTTCTTATGACATTTTTCATCAAAATATTATTTCATCATTTATATTCAATGAAAGAGGTCAAAACTGCTATTTATGATACGGTTAATCTATTTCACTATCAAGTAAAATAGAAAAACAAGATGGCATGCATGTATGACTGAAGACATGCAGTGATAGCAGAGTCTGCGACACTTCGGAGATAGATCTACAGCTGTAGATACACAGAAATCAATAGTCAAACTCAGCCAAGCAATTCTACAGCTCTAGGTACGGTCTTTATTTTTTTACAATGTATCATCTTTAAGACTAAAATGTCCTTATATATGAAAGATTACTTTATTTTCGATGATGGTGTTTCATTGTCATCACAATGCAACTAGTTGGGAATAATTTATTTTTTTTCGAGATTTAGAAACTTCAAGGAGCACTTGGGAAATAATAGCAACATTTTACATTGTAAATAGGGCTGAAATTCAGCCACAAAATGGTCCCCGATAAAGCCCTGAAAACTAATCATCCTGTTCAGTTTTCTCGGGAGGTAAACATGAACTTTTATGTGAAATCCTGACTGTGGTAGGTATATCTTCTATTAAGCATGAAAGTATACCACAGTTTACTCTATTCACCCTGATATTTCCTCCTGGTTCTGTTAATGTTTGCAATAAATCTGGAAGTACATGTAACCTATGTGACATTACAATATGTCAAACGATGTAATTCATTTAGAGAACGAAAATATTTCCTTTCAGGCATTATCATTGTACCATAAAATACATGTAAGTATTGAACCAGCTTTGTGTATCACATTACAAGGTAGATGTGTCACTCCACCTAATACCTAAATGAATATAGATTTCGATATTCAGGTATGCAAGTTCATTTATTTTTAAATATTCAGTACTCATTCTATCAAAAACAAAACATCTCTAGGAATGTCATGAGTTACTGCCCTTTGTAGGGAGGGAATACAGCGAGGATTGTTAACGACCTACAGTAGAATGTCATGAGTTACTGCCCTTTGTATGGAGGGAATACAGCGAGGACTGTTAACAACCTACAGTAGAATGTCATGAGTTACTGCCCTTTGTAGGGAGGGAATACAGCGAGGACTGTTAACGACCTACAGTAGAATGTCAAGAGTTTCTGCCCTTTGTAGGGAGGGAATACAGCGAGGACTGTTAACGACCTACAGTAGAATGGCATGGCTACGTTTGAGTAATGGAAATGAAATCAGGGAACACTGCAAATAAAGACAAGAACACTGTTAAATAACAAGATTACTATACTTGTTATGTTGTACCAGACATCCCAACAACTTCATCACAGCACCAGATACTAGGCCATTCAATTGTACGGTCATCAAGAAATATTCCATTGGATGGCAATACTGAATAGGTGAAAACTAACACTATTGAAACAATTTAAGTTGCTTTAAAACAGGAATGAAAATTAAACTTGATTTGTTTCAGCATTCAGAGACAAACAGACCATCACTAACTGTCATCTGGTGCTGTGGTGATTATGTAACATACCAAATATCAATACATATCATCAACCGAAGCTAAAACAGCCACAAAGAAACCTTCCACAATGTATCTGTTCAAACAAATTATTGTCCAATTTCAACACTCACTGATCACAATGTTCATGGTTTTCGTACAATTCAATGTTAAACAATATATATATGAATCTGATATCACTGTGTCAATTTGCCTGTAAAATTGTGTTCTCAATATAATATCCCAATATAAAGAAGATTTTTGTGCTGTCTCTGTGGCTGTTTCTAGTGGAAACTTGTCAACTTATATAACATGTACATTGTTTCTAAACCTCGTACAGTCTTGTACAGATACTACTGCTTGTAACCCACGTCAGCTGAAGCATTATCAGTATGTAGTACACACAAAAACAAAATGATACTGCATCTTTTATGAAAACTGAATATCAATTATCATTTAAAATGGTAACAGGCCCTACTTTGAATGCAAGAAAAGGAGGAAAAAACATACATCTTACTTCATCATTCTTGCTAATGAATATTCAAATCTTTTTTTTTAAACTTTCAAAAAAGACTGCAAATTCAAACAAGAAAACATTTATCTACACCAGAGATGGAGAAAGTTGTATAAATAAACATTGTGATATATGATTTGATTTACATGTTATCTTGGGGGCTATACATATACTGTATATTATAAATTATAACTTGAGATTTTGATTTTTCTCTTTAATCTAATTGCTGATATGATTCCAATTGGAGATATTCTTCTAAGAAACATGGACTAATAACAAGCATTCTTTACAGCAGCCTGCCTAATTCTTAGCCTTTACTTTGTTAAAATAAGAAAAAAGGCCACCATGAAACATGTGGAATGTTTTTATTCAAAAATATTAACAGCTATACTTCCATTGAGTAGCTAGATGATGCTATTCATAGCTACTGTATACATTAACCAATTAATCCCTAAAGCCATATTTGAACCTTACCAAATCAAAGTCCATTTCAATAATGTAGAGGTGAATGAGTAAAGGGAAGAGGTGTACACAGGAACTTTACAGAAGTGTTGTGACTATATATATAAGACAGACTAAGGATGATGCCTGCCTGCTACTTGTTATACAGGGTTGATATAACATTACCAAAGTCACAGTTATACTATTGACACAGTAGTAGATATATGAATTCATAACATAAAAGTTGACAAGAATATTAAGCTCTTTAATAAGATTTTAAAATTAAAAATAAATTATAATGTTATTTATACATATATAGAAAATTTCAATGTGTGAAATCAAGTTAATGAATGCAAATGGCATAAATATAAATAGATATGAGCTCTTAATATATGGATTATTTCCAGGAATTGTACATTACAGAAAATTAAAGGGACATTATGAGAGAGTTTTTATAATTTTTACTTACTAAGGCATAAGTTGCTTTTGTCACATTATTGATAAATAACATAGACTTCTTTAGAAGCTGTGCTGCAGTCAGAAAAATATTATGAAAGTTTGAAAACCAGTATTAAAGTGATGCATGACAGGCAGACAGGGAGCTAGATATAGAGCTTTGGAGGCCTTGTTAGTGACAGATCGACGAAGAGAGTTGCAATCTAGGGGAGGTCACTCCGTAATGTTAGACTCCACCCTGTTCAGCTTCATGATCATTGTCAGGGTTGTCCAATATCCTACTTAAGATATCACTGGCGAGATTCTCTCATGAAAACATGTTCTCAGACTTCTACACAATTTGTTCTATCATTTTCTATTGAAGGGAAAATGACGGTTGTCTTGAACTTTTTCAAGTGAACATTCTAAATCTAAAGACTGAAGATCAAAAACTTAAAAATCATAAAAAAAAACATCAATAAATAATGACAATTTCAAGAGAAATGGTTTTAGTATTCAGAATTATCAGTTTGACCAAAGGATAAAAAAATAAAATTGATTTTGAAAGATGAATTTAGTTTGTAGACATCAATTGATAAGACGTGTGTGTGCCTGTCTATGATATTTGCAGTATGGGTGTTGGACACCCCTCACCTGGTCTGATATGATATTTGCAGGGGTGTGTTTGACACCCCTGACCTGGTAGTCTTCTTACCTTCCTCCACATCTAGTTATATTAGAAACTGATCTATCTCCTCTCTATCCTAAAACGCCAGAAATAACCAACCAGAATAGGTAAAATTTTCATACTACACTTCATCACCTATATGGATAAATACAATTTCAAAACAACTTTGATGTGGAATTGTTTTCATTTTACATGAAAGGAGGAATTAAGGAACTGTCGATAGTATTAAAAAAAAAATAGAGAAAAAATTAATTGCACCAAAGAAATGTGAAGACTTGGACAAAGAAATGTCATCTGTCATACACTGAAATCATTTAATACCTTTTTAAAACAATGTAGTTTTAAACTAAAACCGACTTTGATAGAATCCAGTAACAAGACATTTACTAGTATTGGTAATAAATGTTAATACAAGATTTCATTACTTTCATAATACGAAGTACAAGTGTATGAGAAATAAATCTTTGGTGTAGATAAATGTTTCCTACAACATTTTTTTTATTTCTGAAAAGAATCCATGTGAATACTATCAGAAAAACCCTGAGGTTAGATTGATATCTTTATGTGTATGGGACTAGATCAATGTCTATGAACAGATTAGTGTCTGTATTGGGGAGAGGAGTTATGCCCCTTGTGTACTTACATTTCGGTTGACAACTGCTGTGTTACGTTTGACCCCGTTGGTGTTTGCGTCTGTGTAAAGTTTGATATCTTTGTCTGCGGCCTGGTACACTACCTTAGCAGAGTCTATTTGAACAGTCCTCGTCTTAGGCACATACGATACAAGTCTGTAAACAAATGTTACTAGCTTGTTAACATACATTTTTAGCCCAACATACAATATTAGCCTATTAACATACCATATTCGTCTGTTAACATACACTATTAGTCTGTTAACATACAATATTAGCCTGTTTACATACCGTATTAGCCTATTAACATACATTATTAGCCTGTTAACATAACATATTCGTCTGCTAACATACAATATCAGCCTGTTAACATACAATTTTAGCTTGATAACATAACATAGTAGCCCGATAACATACAATATCAGCCTGTTAACATACAATTTTAGCCTGATAACATAACATAGTAGCCTATTAACATACAATATTAGCATGTCAACAAACAATTTTAGCCTGATAACATACAATATTAGCCTGTTAACATACAATTTTAGTCTGTTAACATACCATATTCGTCTGTTCACATACAATTTTTTAATACTGGCCTTTTAATAATAAACAATGAATAATTCTGTAAATATATATGCAAGGCATTGGAATGGTTCGCTTTTTTCACAAAATAGTATTATCTGGAGCATGAATTATGAAGTAAAATATCCTTACAAATTCTTTATTTATGACCTAACACATGCAGGTTGAGACAAGTTGGCTTTATAAATACCCTTATATAAAAAAAAGTTTATATATGAACTAACACATAGGCAGGTTGTTAACTTAAAGAAACACATATTCGTATCACATGGAGAAGTCAGTTTTTAAAATTATGATTGTCCCTTTTGTAGCCAATGCTTGAAGTATCTAAGTGAATCTCGGGGACAGAAGACTTCCACCACTTTAATTTTTTAACAGTCATCCAACTCACAATAAGTCATTATATATAGGGGACTTCAACTGACTGCATTCACATCATGGACTACCAAGAACTATTCAAGGTCAAAGGTCAATTGACCAAAATACAAACTTTGACTCAGCTGTTACCTACCTAGGCCATCGAGGCCCACAAATGGCATATTTACAGTTTTCTGAACACCCTCGTGTAAATGGATTGTGTCCGCCTTTAAACTTCCCTGTTACCTGTTACAGAAAAACAAACATCAAGAGTTATATGACACAAGGGCTGATGTTCTTTTCTTAACTATACAAACTGTTTATCTACAGTGTATTTAGTCCTATCGCAGTCAGACCTGTATAAGAAACAACTGTTGGGAAGTCCAAAAGTGGCCTCTTAGTACAGGTGGTGTTTTAATACAGGTTCATTGCACAATAAAATCACTACAATTGGGAACATTAAAAGTGGCCTCTTATCGCAGGTGGTGTCTTAATACAGGTTCATTCAAATCACTACAATGCCATTATTGGGAACATTAAAAGTGGCCTCTTATCGCAGGTGGTGTCTTTATTGAGGTGCTTGGAGCAAGATCAAACGACTTCATGTCTCTGGCATGGTGGAAATATACTAGAAGTCAAAATACAATGAATGTTGTTTGAGACAAATCTGCCTAAATAAAGTTATTTACATCCAGCACCGAACAGGAGGTAAGAATGAATTTTGAATGGCTTATTATCCATGTGTTTTACAACCATTTCAAGTTGCTTACTTTAGCTACATTATCATTCTTGACCTGGATATGAAGATGCTAGTAGTGCTACAAGACATTTGGGAAAGAAGTTTTATCAACATATCTTCAACTGTTTAATTTTTCTTCTTTTTCTAAATTGTTGACATCCCATTTTGAGACTGACCATTTGGTAACGTCAATTTGAACTTCAAAATCTTGTTGTAGTGAATGAGTTGAACATTTTTGGACAACATGAAAATATTTGAGAGGGTTGACATATATACATACCTGTTCATTAGTTGTTCTTCCTCGTGACACCAGGACGAGGTGGAACCCTGTGAGGCCACCCACAGGGACCAGTAATAAACCAATAATTATCATATCTATCATACTGTAACAAACGTTAAGGAAAACATAGTGTTATTGTAAAAAAAATCCATTAAAATGTTGTTCTTTTAAACGATTTTATTATACACTCTTAAACTCTGTTTGACACTTCATTCTAGTGTTTAAGTATGTATATGCTATCTTAACTATACCATACGTTTTTGTTAGAATTACCTCTCTTGAAATAGCTTTTAATAATTGGTATCTTACTCAATAAGTATCACTTCTGTTATCTCTTCAATAAGATTCAACAGTTTGGATATGTGTAATATCAAAGTTCTACTTTCTACACAGACCATGTACATCATAGCTTGACAAAGGGACCAGTCCGGACTAGAAACGTTAAGACGCGTTTAACACATACATCGTTTGTGAAGAAAGTGAAACTTTGATATTTCTGTAGTTTCCAATCCATGATTTTTTGTGTATCTTTTTACGGCTGTCAATGTACTGTCAATAAAATGAACAAGTCTTAATTATTGTTAATGAAAAAATATTCATCAGAGAAACTCATCGTGACAAAATGTTATTGTCGGTCAGAGTGTTTATTTCTTTAAGTGATGACCTTATCACAATACAAGTATTCACATATTGTTGTAAAAGGATACCCTACTATACATCCAACGTCGCTTAAATTGTTTTTGTGATTTAAAACATAAAGGAGACACAATGAAAATATACTGATCATATGAAAAAATAATGAGCCTAAAAATAGGAAGAAATATCGGTAGTTTCTCCTTCCTATGCAGTTGTTTACCCAGGGGCAGTGATGATCAAATGTCTGAAACAAAATCAAAACAAGGATTAACAAGAGATCGTAACAACGCTTGCTTCAGATGTATTCAACTTAATTAAACTTTGATAAAGATATGTAACAATTATCCTAAATTGTATACTTTTGTTTTATTATACACATTACAAAGTAACGTAGAGGTCTGTGTTTATTGATGGAGCATTCATTACACTAAAGTGGGAGGTGACAGTCGAGAGTATACGGTATTTGTGGATCGTTGATGTAAACTCACCTCTATACATTTATTACACTACAATGGGAGGGTGACAGTTGAGATTATAGTTGCGGGTTGTCCATGTAAACTCACCTCTATACACTTATTACACACACTACAATGGGAGCACCTAGGGGGTCGGTAGAACTGACAGGTCGTACACCATTTCATCCGCACAGTTATTCCTTTTATTTCTACATTTTTGTAGAGTGGTGTACGAAAATCATCGTCTCTCGCTTCATCTTCATGTGCTGTAATGACATAAAACATAAATACATGTAAATAAGATTAATGTAACTTCTACGCTTTACAATTTAGGTCTTCCACCAATAAATCATACCTTATCTACCCATCTTTGTTCTTATTACAGATTGAAACAAAGCACCAGCAATCAGCTAAGTAGGTAAGGAAAACTATGTTTTGTTAATTTGTGAGAGACTTAAGAAATGTCCTTGGATCTGCCTGGAAATCACTGGTAAAAAGTTCAATAGAAAACCTGGAGAGCAAAATTAATTAAATTGAAGTGATATTTTTTCATATCAAGGTTAGCTAAATATAGCGTCTTCAGATAAAACAACTCATTAGTCTGGTATTTAGGTTTCAGTATGTATGGAAAGAAAGAAATGTCCCAACTATTGTTGTTACCAGGTGGTACTAATGTTCTGCATTTGTAATGTTGCCACACCAAAAAGGTGTAAGCCACAGACAAATGAATACCCCTTATCCCACATAAAAATACTTGACTTGGAATCTAAATAAAGGTCAAAACGATGTGTAGTGTTAACTAATGAAATGGGACCTAAATTAAATGTAAAATCTAACCTCAGTCAGTGAAATTAAAAGTATAACTCACAGTGACCTATTTATTTTTTATTTATTGGTGTAATACTCTTCAGGATGTATGGTAAGTACATAGTATGTAATGCAGCTAAATGAGAAGTCAGTAAAGCAGAAAATATAGGTCACAGTGACCTATATTTATTAAACTGCTGTAATAATCCTTACAAGATGTATCCATTTAATGAGTTTGGTGAAGTTGGACTTTTAGTATTCAAGTATTAGAATGTAAAAGTTTAACCGAGATGTTGTATATACAGACATGTACAGACATACTGACGGAAAAGGCACACAATGTATACCCTCTACACTGTTTACGTAAAATATTGCAAAAAAGATTACACCTACGTACACTGCATACTGCTGTGTACATTACTGTGTTTCACCATAAACATTAAATCCCTGAATAGTTCCTATGGTTACAAATAAGATATTTCAAGACTCTCCAAGTTTAAAATAAACCAGCGTACCATTTTACTATAGAGAACAAGCTGTAATAAAAAGGAATGGTGTCCATACATGCAAGCCGATCGTGAGTCTCTGTAGCACAGATACATGTATATAGTACTGTTACCCAGAAGGCTGCTTGTACTTGTACCCAAATATATTTGTGTAATTGAAGTCTGGTCCTCATATCAATATTGCTTAGGAAACATTCTGGAGTTGAAACCTGTACATATTAACTGCAAAATCAATATTCGTTTTCCACCATGAGTTCCATTTACTGCATGCCAATATTTTCCATGTTGTACTTTAACCAAGTAAGAAATGATTTACAATAATATATTAGTCCATGATTTTGCTAACATTTTATGTTCAGTTATGAATATTTGGATTGACCGTGATTCAGGATTTAAGATTGTAATCTTGTGTTTCTATTTCTCGCCAACTTCAACATCTATATCTATATATTATATATATATACAATCTGGTGGAAGAGTCAACTAGAGAAACTGTGAGCTTGCTCACAAAGATATACTCCCTGCTTGGCTAACGATGTATATGTATACGTATCTTGAACAGAAATTAATGTTTCCTGGGCCATAACCCAGGAAAATAGTTGAACAATACATTCCATAACTCCATGTAAAACAGTCAAAACGCCAAATCCTTCTTCACGCACATTTATATTACCGTATATGCAATGTATAATGGGTAAAAATTATGTAGTTCAAAAATAATACATATCAAATACCATAAACCCTTGTTTAATACATAAATAGCATTAATAAGACAGAGCTTTCAAATAAACTGTAAAAGACTGTTTTCTATCAACCATTTAATATAGAATCACTAAAAAATATAACTGCCAACAAGCAAGGTATCCGATAAATTTGCATATTGGCCTAGGTAGATATATCAATTTCCTATTCCCCCATGTGTGATAAGATACTACCGGTATATCTAGATAGAAAGTCCATTAATAACTGTAGCACAAAACATATACCACTACATGCTTTTTGCTGAATGTAAATTGTCTTCATCAACTGTTGACTGTACATGTCTAGACAGATGCGTGCAAAAGGAGGTTGTTCCATTTCTATCTCCTGACAGTCCCCCTCAAAATCTTTCTCATCTGAACTAGACATACACATATATATAGGAGCCAATTAAGATGTCTTCTCTGTAAAAGTCCCCTAATTCACTGTCATTCTCATCTTAACTCGCTTATAGACCTACACCTACACATTAAGACCCTCACACGCTAACATCCGGGCCAACAAGAGCAATTAATATAAGTTGTGGTAATTAACTTGTTTCATAATTGTTGTCAAACAGATAGAGTTTATATTTATATGTTCCCCTTTGAATTCATTGACAGCCCTCATAATAGGCTTCTCGATCATCTCATCTTCCGTATAAATACCTATAGACAGGTATGCATATGAACACAGATGGCCATGGTTGCCAGTTAAATCAAGATGTTGTATGGATGGACTGGTCATTACTTGTCTTAGCTCAGAAAAAAACCTGTAGAAACAGTATCTCAGATATGTATGGTAGAGGATTTTACATGTAAAAAGGATTTCCATAACTAATGCCTATATGCTGTGTTAAATACTGGGGCCTGTTCGAGTGGCTCACTGGACTCCAGCTGCTGGTCTGTCTAGACAAGACATTTAGACAGTAATCATAGGGGTCTTTGTTATATGGTAATAACACACTACAACAACAACTACATGAAATACGGTTTATTACACATGTACAAATCAGAGGGAATTATATCTTAATATCAGATGGGTATGATTTATACAAATTATGTATACTATATGTTGTTAATTTTTAGGTAGTTGTATTTTATTCCGTAACAGATCAATGTTTGTTCTGTCCAAAATCAAATGTTCATTTGAAAGATGGTCTTATGCATTACTGAAGTTACTCTCTTGGAACATGTCTAAAACAACTTTCTATACGGTAAAGGATTAAAATCCTGTTGTCTATAGATACTCATGATGTTGTTGTGTAATTACAGCTCCTGTCTAGCTAACCAACATAACAAATGGTACTTGCTGCTTCGGCATGCACAGTAAACATGGCCATCCTTTCTGGGGGTCATTCATGAGTCAAGACACACCTGGATTAAATCAAGCTCAATGGGGTACATATTTTACACTTTCTTTTCTCTTTCTTTAAATAAGAGTTGTGTTTGCTGAAGATCACACACTTGTGCAATTATATAAACACAGATTGACATGTAAATGATCGATTAGTCCACCAAGGGCTTCCCCATGATAAGGACTGTTGTATAGCCTTATTTTAGACTCAGCTTCCCCATGATAAGGACTGTTGTATAGCCTTATTTTAGACTGGTTGATGGTTCAAATGGTTTTACTACTCATGTACATGGAAGCTAGCTATAGGAGTTCAAACCACACTGACTAGCATCTAGGAAATACTGTAAGCATGTCAAAGGGTTGTTTGCGAGCATTCCTAGAATGTCAGTTTTACAAAGGTATATATATAGATAGATTATTATATATATTTATATAATTCAGCCAAATAAACTTGTTGCAGATCTATATAGCTACAATATTTTGGTAAATACAGGTGCTTTACATGTAAATGCTGGTGTAAAAACAGCCTAGTGTGTGAATTGATGTGCCGTACACTATAACATATGCAGCACAGACGATCACGAGATGATAATCAAATACCCCCCCCCCCCAAATAATGTAACGGCAAACATCTACAATGCTTCCATTCACTTCCTCATTCATAAAGAGACTTGAATATAATTCTGTGCTTAAAAACTTATTTAGATCATTACACCTCTTTCTGGCAACCACAAACACCTTATATATATAATTACCATGCATTAATGGTTGAATGATCATGCTATCACTTTCAACAAGAACAACAATTGCTGAATGAAGAGGGGGACTGATGCAAGACCCTGTGTGAAACACATTCTGACTTTTTCAATATTGACACATCTTGGCTCAGAAGGGAATTAGGCCTTCCTGTAAACCTACATATATACATAATGGTTAATGTACACAGACAACCTTTTTCAACACATTTCTATTGTGTGTACCACACATTTCGTTTATGGTGACAAGCCCAGATGAAAAGAACTATAATAATCAGTCTCAGTCCAGCTGGTGCTGGCTACTTCACAAGACACACAAAGGGACAGCTTGTGACATAAATATCCACAAGGTTTGTAGGACAGCTGGTGAAGTAAATGCCCACAAGGTTTGTAGGACAGCTTGTGAAGTAAATGTCCACAAGGTTTTAAGACAGCTTGTGAAGTAAATGTCCACAAGGTTTGTAGGACAGCTTGTGACATAAATATCCAAAAGGTTTGTAGGACCGCTTGTGAAGTAAATGTCCACAAGGTTTGTAGGACAGCTTGTGAAATAAATGTCCACAAGGTTTGTAAGACAGCTTGTGCCATAAATATCCACAAGGTTTGTAGGACAGCTGGTGAAGTAAATGTCCACAAGGTTTTAAGACAGCTTGCGAAGTAAATGTCCACAAGGTTTTAAGACAGCTTGCGAAGTAAATGTCCACAAGGTTTTAAGACAGCTTGTGAAGTAAATGTCCACAAGGGTTGTAGGACAGCTTGTGACATAAATATCCAAAAGGTTTGTAGGACCGCTTGTGAAGTAAATGTCCACAAGGTTTGTAAGACAGCTTGTGACATAAATATCCACAAAGTTTGTAAGACAGCTTGGGACATAAATATCCACAAGGTTTGAAGGACAGCTTGTGAAGTAAATGTCCACAAGGTTTGTAAGACAGCTTGGGACATGAATAATCACAAGGTTTGAAGGACAGCTTGTGAAGTAAATGTCCACAAGGTTTGTAGGACAGCTTGTGACATAAATATCCAAAAGGTTTGTAGGACCGCTTGTGAAGTAAATGTCCACAAGGTATGTAGGACAGCTTGTGAAGTAAATGTCCATTAGAT